CCTGCTGCAGGGGGGCCGATCTTGTGCACAAGCTAGTTGTGCACAGAATGTTTGTGCACGCGTTGTGCACGCGGTTTGCACGTGGTTTGCACGTGGTTTGCACGCGTTCTGCACGCGATGTGCACGCGTTCTGCACAAATGTGCACGTGGTTTGCACGCGGTTTGCACGCGTTGTGCACGCGGTTCGCACGTGTTGTGCACAGGACGATTTTATCACGGGGGTCCAGCCAAGGGGTGCGGAAGGGAACGGTCCGCGCACACTCCGCTCACCTCATATACCACAAGGGCCAGAAACGAATTGAAATTGTAACAAAAACACTGCGTTCAAGCCTCGCGCGGTTCGCGCGGGGCACTTTTTTATGTTTGTATTCGGCAGCCTTTACTTTAACATTATTCCTTTTCCTCCCCCTAAAATGATGGAGAGAAAAACGCAATTAGGACTTTGATAGCAGCACGGCACAAAAGCCTCATTGCTCTGAGCTGCTCTGCTGCTGCCTTCCTCGCTCGCCTTATTGCCGCTGCTTGCAACCCCCTCCTTAGCGCCTGCAGCGCCTTGCAACCCTTCCTCGCAATCAGACAGGTGACTGATGGCATGCGCCGCTGGCCGTCCCCTCTCTCCCCCGCATGACACGATGAAATACGCGTCATGCTGCCCCGCGGGCCCGTCCCTTCGGTCCCTTCCCCCGCGCGCATGTCCCCGCAGAGAGCCGCACGCTCCACCACGCCGCACAGCGACGCCTTCCAGGAAACGGGGCGGCGGCGCGCGGGCGGGCCGACAGGGAAAATCGCATTTGCCGATATTGAGTAAATTTTGGCGCGGCGGCGAAGCGTAGTGTAGTGTAGTGTGTGTGGATGGAGAGAGAAGAGGGGAGGCGGGGGAGCACGGGAGGGGCAGCCAACGCCCAGTGGGAAATTAATATGGCAACCCCTTGCCACGAGTGTAGTAGTGCGAGAGAGTGTGTGTGTGCCGTATGCATACACTGTGAAACTTTCATTTTCAAATAATGTTTACTTGGCGTGCAGGCCGTATGCGGTTTGCAAGCCTCCCCCTCCGGGGAGCAGCTGGTGGAGGCTGCGCTGCCGGAGGCTCCGCGGGGCGGCGGGGGGCGCGCCCGCCTCCGGGCTGCACGCCATTCATTTTTAATGCAAAGGAAACTGGAAATGGACAAGGAAATTCGGTGGTCTTATCAGTTCCTCCATTGTGTGTGGCAGAGCGGTAATTGTTAACGGGGGAGGTAGCGAAAGAAAAAAATAATCATAATACAACGGCGCGAGGAAGGGGCATAGTCCGGAAAGGCAATCTCCTCCGGCTCCCCCACGGCGCCGAGGCGCCACCCGCGTGTTGACGGAAGGAGAGAGAAAGAGAGAGAGAGTGGGTTTGTTTGTGAACCTCTGATGGACTACCGGCCAAACCCGCGCGGGCCGAACGCATAAACCACCCCATGTGGAATGGCCCCGGAGTACGCGGGGAACAACACTAAATAAATAAAAAACGAACGGCAGGTGCCAGAACTGTCGCACCACAGGGATCACCATAACGGAGCGTTCTTCATGCGCCGTCAGGAGGGAATCACGCCGTTCAGCCCTCGCTGCTCGGCGCGTCCTCGTTCATCAGGGCTGATTGTGACGCGAGCCGCTTTGCTTACCCCGCTCGGTTGGTTGGTGGACATTTGATGGACGCGAAGTGCGTCTCAAGCGTCAAGAGAGTCGGCCATCCTCCCTCCCTCCAACCCTCCCCCTCCCTCATCAATGATTTGCATTGCTCTCGTGCGACGGGGAGTGCTCGGCCTTCCCTTAGTGGATTGGCACGCGCCGCCGCCGCCACCCCCCACCCTGTCGGTCCGTCTGAGCGGAGTGTACCTGGTATCGCCCAACCAATCGATGGCGGTGGAAAAAGCGCCCCCGCCGCCGCCGCCACCCCCCAGGATGTCGGTCCGTCTGAGCGGAGTGTACCTGGTATCGCCCAACCAATCGATGGCGGTGGAAAAAGCGCCGCCGCCGCCGGCGACAACGTCGTCCTCGGCAGCGACGACGCCCACCAACGGCAACGGGCTGGCGGCGCCGCAGCCCAGCCACCCCCTCGGGCCCCAGGGGCTGCTGGGCAAGGTTGCCATCGTGACGCCCACCCCGCAGCAGGCGCAGCCTCCCCAGCGGAGCAATAGTCTGGATTACCTCAACTTCGAGGAGAAGCGGCAGCTTATCGCGTCGTCGCTGTCGCTCTCGGACTTCCTGCACGCCAACGGGCCCGTCAGCGGGCCCTTGAGCGCGCCCCTGAACGCGCCCCTGGGTGGGCCCCTGGGTGGGCCGCTGCCGGCCGCCGGCCACCAAGTCATAGTCTGTGAGTATCAGCTGATCGCCCCGGTGGTGGTCCTGCTGGCCTACCGCCTGTCACAGCCTCCTTCTCTCCGTCTTCTTTCTCATCATCCACCTTGTGCTTCCGGCGTGGCGTGGCCTGGCGTGGCCGTCCGGGACGACTTTAATCATTGTCGAGGCGACCAATTGTCACCATTGTCCGACCTCCGGATTATTTCGTATTGTAAACCGCACCCCCCCATCCTCCCCCCACCTCCTCTTCGTCCTCATCCCCTACGACGAAACGACATCGCCTGTCACAGGGTAGGGAGCCGGGAGGAAGCCATTCCCTGCACAATCATTTACCAAAGCCGTTTTATAAGCTTGTTTAGTGTTTCCTGCGCACGCCCGAACACATCTTTTGACCTGTACTAACCCCGGCAAAGGCAGTTCTGAGGCGTATATTTATCATTTTAGAACCTGCCTTGAGCAAGCCCTGCCTCATCGTAACTCCCACCTTAAGCCGCGGCTGTCTTAACCTGGTCTTAACGCTTCCCCTGAGCTGGCTGCCTCAACGCTTGCCTTAACTCTCGCCGCTCCAGGACGGGCCCCCCATGTGTCGCCCCTTTGCGCTCTATGGCTCCCCCGAGGCGGCCCCAAGTGCGACTGTGCGTCGCGATGCGTCGGTACACTGCCGAGAACAACCCCCAAAAATATTGTTGCGTATTATTGAAAGGCACATTGCACGCTTGGTTCAAGGTCAGCGGTGCACCGTCTGCAACTGGGTCGCCTCTTTTGTGGTCCTCTGATCCTCCTAGCAGGTAGAAAGCCGAGTGGAGTTAAAGTCTTTTGCGAGGTGTCTCCCTCCTGTTGTCCCCGGCTTTAGGCCGTATCGATTTATTTATGTTTAGCGAGGGCCGGGTGTGTTGAGGGGCCCTTGCCCTACCTTTGTTTGCTCCCTGCTTCTTTTCTCGCGGGGGATGAGACGGTGGGGCGGCCTTTGGCTTCCGAGAAAGCTGACTGTTGCGTTATGACCGTGCGGTCTCATTGTTCTCGCTTTGTTCTAACGCGCCCTGCAGCACTTACCAGTGGAGCGGGAGTATAGTTCTTTTTCGAGCGTCTCCACTCATCTTGAGACGCTTTATTTTTTTATTTATTTTTTTCACCGTGGGTGTTTTCTCTACCTGCACCATTTACCACGCGGCTCCCATTTCCGGGAGAGGATGGTGTGTTTTAGGGCCCCGTAGCGGGCAGGTGGCTATAGGCGTAGTGGGGGTGCACCTGTGCATGGGTAAGGTCACTCCAGCTGATTGAGCTATTCAGAGATTTACTGCACCCAGAAAAGTGGAAAAATGTGGCAGCCATCATATGGTTGTTTCATGTCAGGGAAAGCCATCAAGTAATAGATGAGGCAACATGAAATTTACTCGATTGGCAGTAAGAACTCCAATATGGTTATGATAACTTCCTGCTAGTTTTGTAATCATATTACTATGGTTTTCCCTGAACTCTCAACGAATGCATCCCGACCTGGATAGAAACAAAATTGTCCTATCACATTTAGAGTGTGAGGTAAACATTCAATGGCATCTAGAGCTTTCTTCTCAGTGTGTACTTGTCCCCGTCTTAATGGGTTCCAATATCTACTAAAAGAACCAAAAAGGAGTACATTCCTAGCCAAATCGTATGCGATTGTGTGAGGTTGAACATGTGAATTTGTGTGCTGGGTGAATTTTGTGCGGATTTGTTGTTGTTGTTGTTGTTGTTGTTGCTATTATTTATTATTATGTGAGGTCATTGCGTGCATATCCCCGTCCACCACTTTTTATTTACTTACACACACACTCGCTCCACGAGCGCAGACCGGCTGTGGCGCCCCGGCCTGGCCTGCCTGCAATCAGCTGTCTGTCTCCTCCCCGCCCCCACGGCCCCCACCACCACCCGCCTGACCAGCCCCTCCCCCCCCCCCTCTCACATTCCTCTCGCCCTCTCCCTCTCTTTTGCTCTTGCTGGGCGGCTGCTAGAGAGACCTGCGAGCCGGCCAGCCGGACGCTAGAGAGAAACACGTTGGCAGTGGCGCGCGGTGCGCTGCGTACGAGCAGACCCACAACGCAGTGACCCTCTTGCTCACCAAACCAGCGCCGTCACCGTTAGAGTAGGGAGAAGGGGGGGGGGGGTCTGGAGAGCAAATTAAATGCGCCAAGGTGACGAGCGGCTCCCTCTCACACATGCGAGCCGTTTCCGGTGCGCAACGGCGCGAGGTATTTAAATACCACTTTGAGTTTTTTAAAACAGGCCCGCGTCACACTTGAGTTCTGCTTGTTTAATTTTTAGAACTTGTCTTTTGGCCGCTGTTTTTTCTATATTTTTCGGAGGCCTTTAACCTACTCTATACTTTCGGACAAAGTTTAGTGGAAAAGGGGGCTGCGTCGGGTCTGGGGCTAGATCATAAATATGTTCGGCTTATGTCAAGTCGCCACCACCTCTCGTCACCGGGTGGCGATCGGCTGCTCCGCGCGCGCTGATTGCCCCCCTATTGCAGCCCCATTGTCCGGGCCGCCGCCCCGCAGCCCCACGCGTCTCCAAAATGTAAAATTTAAACGCGTCGGAACGCATTGAACTACAGCGATCGGAGTCACGCCAATCGACTGGAAATCTCAAGGAACCTTGAAAAACATTTTGAAACGTACTTGTACGACGCTCCGTTCGGAAACTGCAGTGAATGATCTTTGAAGATCGCCGCTTCATGCGATCTGAACGGAGCGTCGTACAAGTACGTTTCAAAATGTTTTTCAAGGTTCCTTGAGATTTCCAGTCGATTGGCGTGACTCCGACCTCTGTAGTTCAATGCGTTCCGACGCGTTTAAATTTTATATTTTGGAGACGCGCGGGGCTGCGGGGCGGCGGCCCGGACAATGGGGCTGCAATAGGGGGGCAATCAGCGCGCGCGGAGCAGCCGATCGCCACCCGGTGACGAGAGGTGGTGGCGACTTGACATAAGCCGAACATATTTATGATCTAGCCCCAGACCCGACGCAGCCCCTTTTTCCACTAAACTTTGTCCGAAAGTATACTTGGCCTCACAGCCGCACGGCTCGTTCAAAGCGAACTGCAGTGTTTCTAAAGACATTTGCTAGTATGATAGGATTCGAAAAGCGCTGTAGTTTTCTACCGAATAAATTCCATAGTTCTTTTGCGATGTTGCGAACTAACTCGGTCTTGCTCTTCAAAAAGAGGGGGGATGGGTAAAAGTGTGCTGGATAGCTGAAATGGGCTTGAAGCTCGGGGCCCGATCCCAATGGGGCCGGGAGAGCTGGCGCTGGCCCAAAACAAGCGTTACAGGGCCTGCTCGCAGCCCTGCCACGTAGCACCTACCTAGGCAGCATGGCGTTTACGAACATTTTTTTTCTTTTTTAAAGGGTCAAAACACTTGAAAATTTGCGATAGGAAAAAGATTGAGAGAGAACAATATAAGTGATTGGGTTTGAATTCGGCATTGCTGCCGCCGTGGCTGTGTGCACGGCGGGCCGAGTCATGCTGAGTTATGCGTGAGAGAGAGAGAGAGAGAGAGAGAGAGAGAGAGAGAGAGAGAGAGAGAGAGAGAAGTGGGCGTAGCCGGGCTCCGCCATGAAGCCATTGCGGGCCGCCGTCGTTCTTCTTCTCAGAACAATGGCTTTAGGACCGTCGGGGCCTTCTTATGCTGGACAGTAGCAGCATGGTCCTAGAAGTGCCCCCTATCCTCTGTTCCGCCGACTCCTTCAGACTGAGAAGAAGGAAAGAGAGAGAAAATTAAAGTGCATATTTGCTAGATGAGAGGTGGTTGGTGAAAAGAGAGAGAGAGAGAGAGAGAGA